CCCTCACCTGTGCCCTCACCTGGACATCCCTCCACCTGGACATCCCTCACCTGTGCCCTCACCTGGACCTTCATCTGTGTCCTCACCTGTGCCCTCACCTGTGTCCTCACCTGGACATCCCTCACCTGTGCTCTCACCTGGACATCCCTCACCTGGACATCCCTCACCTGTGCCCTCACCTGGACATCCCTCACCTGTGTCCTCACCTGGACCCTCATCTGTGTCCTCACTCGTGCCCTCACCTGTGTCCTCACCTGGACCCTCATCTGTGTCCTCACCTGTGCCCTCACCTGTGTCCTCACCTGGACATCCCTCACCTGTGCCCTCATCTGGACCCTCACCTGTGTCCTCCCCTGTGTCCTCACCTGCCCCCCATCTTCCCCCTCACCTGCCCCCTCACCCGCCCCCTCACCTGCCCCCTCACCTGGCTGCAGCCTCAGCGCCCGCTCCAGGTACTCGTCCTCGGAGATTTCCCACCCGTCCTCGTCCAGGAGCTCCCGGGTGCGATCCATGACGGCCCAGACGAAATCGGGGAAGAAAAGGGCGAATCTGTGGGAATCGCTGAGGGCGCCGCGCTCGGGGCTCTCTCTGCACGTGATGAGCTCGGGCAGCTCCGACAGCCACCTGGGCCAGGTGAGGAACCGCGGCGTGAGGGACCCCCCGGACCACCCCCAGACGTGCTCGGGGGGAGGGGGAGACCCCCCCCAGCCCTGGGGGTCACCACAGACCCCCCCCCAGCCCTGGGGGTCACCACAGACCCCCCCCAGCCCTGGGGGTCACCACGGCCCCCCCCCCAGCCCTGGGGGTCACCACAGACCCCCCCCAGCCCTGGGGCTCACCACGGCCCCCCCCCCCAGCCCTGGGGGTCACCACAGACCCCCCCCCAGCCCTGGGGGTCACCACAGACCCCCCCCAGCCCTGGGGGTCACCACGGTGGGGGGGGAAACTCCTGAGGACCCAAAACGTGTCCGGGGGGGTCCACTGGGTTCCCGTCCACCCCCCACCCCAAATCAAGGGAAGGTCCCCATTTTCCTGTCCCACCCCAAATCAAGGGAAGGTCCCTACGCTCCTGTCCCACCCCAGGCCAAGAGGAGCACCCCAAATCAAGGGAGGTCCCCTTTTTCCTGTCCCACCCCAAATCAAGGGAGGTCCCCATTTTCCTGTCCCCCCTTCCCCAGCTGAGGGGGGGTGGGGGGCCCTGGAGCCCCCCCCAGGTACCTCAGCCGGTTCATGTCCTGCTGGGTGATGTCCCCGTGGCTGGTGTGGATCAGGGAGCTGCAGAGGAGCAGGGTCAGCACCAGCAGCCACCGGGAGCTCTCCAGGTCCTCCTGCAACGACCCCATCCTGGTCAGACACCCCCAGGACCCCGCTGAACCCCAGGGTTTGGGGAGGACCCTCCCCCTCCACCCCCACGAGCCTCGGGGTGTCCCTGGGGCGTCCCGGGCAGGGCTGAGATCCAGAGGGTCCTTCCCACTCGGGATATTCCAGTGACCCCCGGGGGGTCCTTCCCACTCAGGAACCTCAATTTTAACTCTTGGGGTCCCTCAGACCCTCCTCCCCCAGATTCCCCCCCCCCCCCAGGTCCTTATTCCTAATTCTGCTGCACTTTTGTCCCAAAACCCAGGAATTTGGCCACCTGCCTGACCCCATGGCCACCGTGAGGGGGGACTGGGGGGGGGGGGGACACACACACCAGGGCCCAGGTGAGCCCCAGGTGCTGGGGGTGCTCAGGGGGACCCCCCCAGGGCCTCACCCACCTCGTCCAGGTGTACCTCGGTGTGCAGGAGGACCAGGGTGTGGTCAGGCAGGTGAGGGTGGGGGAGGCAGCCCACCCACATCCGGCTGGGGGGGGAGCCCACGGAGAGCCCTGGGGGGACACGGGTGTTGCACAGGAGGGAAACAGAGGGGGAAGGAGCAGGTACCGCCTCGGCCACTCAGGTACCACCCTGGCCTCCCAGGTACCCCCACCAGTCAGGTACCCCATCCATCCAGGTACCCCAGTCAGGTACCTCACCCATCCAGGTACCTCAGCCAGGTACCCCAACCACCCATCCAGGTACCCCAAGTATGCAGGTACCTCACCTATCCAGGTACCCCAAGTATGCAGGTACCCCATCCAGGTGCCCAAACCATCCAGGTACCCCAACCACCATGCAGGTACCTCAGCCAGGCACCTCACCCATCCAGGTACCCCATCCATCCAGGTACCCCATCCAGGTACCCAAACCATCCAGGTACCCCATCTATCCAGGTACCCCATCCATCCAGGTACCCCATCCAGGTACCCCATCCATCCAGGTACCCCATCCATGTACCCAAACCATCCAGGTACCCCATCCATGCAGGTACCCCATTCATGCAGATACCTCATCTAGGTACCCCACCCATCCAGGTACCTCATCCATCCAGGTACCCCACCCATCCAGGTACCCCACCCATCCAGGTATCTCACCCATCCAGGTACCTCACCCATCCACGTACCTCACCCATCCACCTGCCTCGGCCATCCAGGGCAGGACCTCCCTCCCCTTCCCAGCCTGTCCCTCAGGTGAGACTCCACTCACCTGTCCCTCAGGTGGGACTCCACTCACCTGTCCCTCAGGTGAGACTCCACTCACCTGTCCCTCAGGTGAGACTCCACTCACCTGTCCCTCAGGTGGGACTCCACTCACCTTCCTGGTCGGACCCGATGACAGCCACGACCACCACGGGCTGTTTGACCCCCGACAGCACCCGCAGGGCCTCGGAATAGACCACCAGCCCCTGCTCCTGGGAATTCTCCACCAGGCAGACGGGGCTCAGCCCCTCCTGCCCCGCTGCCAGCGCATCCAGCTGCCCCATCCTGGAAGGGGAAGGGGACACGGGGGGGTGTGGGGTGGGCATGGCCCCAAACACGGAGCAGCACACACTGGAGAGCTGGAATGTTTTTTTGGGGGGAAGGGACCTTGAAGCTCATTCCATCTCGGCCCCTGCCACGGGCAGGGACACCTTCCACGAGCCCAGGTGGCTCCAAGCCCTGTCCAACCCGGCCTGGAACAGCTCCAGGGACGGGGCAGCCACAGCTTCTCTGGGAGATTCATTCCAGTCCTTTACCCACAGCTAAAGATTTCTCCCTCAGATCCACCCAAACACCCTCTGTTCCAGGGGGCAGCCCCTGTGACCCCCCCAGCTCCTGCAGGAAAACTGTGAC